AAATTTTTCGGTTTCGGCTGTCTTTCGTTAAAATTACGCACATCAGAGCATAATGATCAGTCAACGGTTTATCCGCTAGAAGTAATTTCTCTAACAGGCTTTTCAGAGTTTATCACAGCGCTGGAAAATGAATTTCGTTAAAAGCAAAGTAAGAATGGCTTTCTTTGGGTTGATAATAGCTTCAGTGGCAATAGTTCACCATGTGAAAGCCAACTCCAGTGCTGACTCCAAACAAAACTGCAAAGAATATCCTTCTTCTAGAGATAATGGCAACAAAATTCAATGTCCCATGATCGACTCCAATAGCACCAATATCACCGATACCGAATTGGAAAGAGGTAATTGATATATTTGCAGAGTTATTACTGAGCTCGTACAGCTTGCCTTCTTAGCAGACGCAAGAAAATGAAATCCATGCATCCTTCTTTAGTTTCAAGCTCTTACGCTCAAGTTAATATTTGCTTTATATCTCCCAGAACAACGTAAATTAATAATCATAGCTTTGATGAAGATCAAGTATAATTTGCGAGACTGAAAGAAATTTCTTCATTACAAATTAATGATGCATTTCGTCCTTTTTAATTCTTCAGTAGAATGTTTTTGCGTCCTTGAAATTTTCAGCCGGACATGATGCGAAGCTGTCTTTCCGCTGAAAAGCGAACGAAAGCGCAAGAAATGAGCGCAAAATACTTTATACGGCTTAACTAGAAGCACAGTTAGTCCAGTTTAATCTCTTGGAGACCAGAAAAAGAATTTCAAACGTGGGGAAAGAAACGACACTTCAGAGAGATGAGATAGAGCATAGTGGTTATGAGATTTCACACCATTTTATTGCGCGAGGACGTGTTTATCTTGAGCCGGCAAGGTAGGCACATCTTGTCCGCTCAGTTAGCCAATCACAGCGCAGGATTTGGTTCATGTTGCCCGCTTAAGAAACTAGCCATAACAAATGTTCTTATTTCAGTGTTGTTTTTGGACAAAACTGAGCTTTTCCAATGACACTGTTATCCATTCTCGTACGTACGTACATACATACATACATACATACATACATACATACATACATACATACATACATACATACATACATACATACATACATACATACATACATACATACATACATACATACATACATATACTTTATTTAACCTCGAATTTACAGAGTAGCTTGTTAGCTAATATCTTCGAGAGAAATAAATATTAGAAAGAAAAAGGAAATAGATAAAATAAAATAAAATGCAGCCCTTTTCGCTCCTCTAGCCGGCAGCGCCTTGGCAAGAGAAACGAGGGAGCCCTTCGTTTCTCGTGTTCCTCGTGCCAACGTCCCGCTGGCTAAGAGAATCGAAAAGGGCTATGGGGACGAGAAGGACCGTTGTCACCATTCTAGGTAAAGCTGGAAACAAAAGACAGACTGAAAGTCGTATTCTGCTGACTTATTGCCTGGTGACGTCATGCCTGTTACTGGAAGTCTTGATTTGCGTGGTGTTGCAACTTGGTCTGCGAAAAAAACGCAGGTAAGAAGACCAATAACCTGAGTAGAGCCCAGACTCCCTCACCGCGCGATCATGCAGTTACTCCCCCTTCAAGTGGAGTTTGAGAGCCAGCCCAAACATGCTGAACAAACTTCACAGAGATCTGTGTAGTCTTAATAGTCTGATTAGTTATTACTTAGGGACCAAAATTTAACCCCGGCCAAACATCCAATTAAAAATTAACAGTATGAAAGTTTTCAGCTCAAATCTCAGTCTCAACCCACACTCATCTGTATAAATTTGAAAAACGCATCTTTTTTTCTCCGATCTGGTCTACCATTCACCCTAAAGCAGCGTTTTCGACCTGGTTCTAAAAACAGACGAAGTATGTCGGATTACCACAATAATGTAGTGGTGCTCATACGTGAATTCACTTTGCCTCGTTTGTCTGAGAATCGGACAAAATGCGCGTAACCCATTCTGATACGCTTGGTAAAAAGCCAAAACAAAAAACGTAGCAGTTTCCTTTACAAGTCTGTGTATAAAGATAATCTTTCTGCGTTTTTCTTCACAGTCAGACACGACCCGAGAGACAAGATGCTGAAAACACTTCACGTATGTATCGATTGTTAGGTCTTTTTTCATATGCATCATTTACCAAATAGGCGACCTTGAAATCTAGAAAAAAACTGTTAGTGAACGTACGAGAGGAACTCGAGTGTTTTCAGCAGTTATTCTAGACCTCAAAAGTGCATTATTTTCTTAGAAAGAAAAACATAGGAAGACCATCTTCTATTTGGTTTAGAATATGAAAAAGCGAAAATATTCACATCTGAGAAGTGGCGGTGGTTGCACTGAAAACACAACAACCATAATATACGTGCTCTCAGTATAATTTCCAGCCGTGCATCTATAAGCAAATAATGCACGATAAGCCCCGATGGCGGATATACAGCAGGTTTAATGTAAATTGTTTGTGTACGACTGAAAACTGTCATGATTCTAATGTATCACAACCACGCTTCTTTCCTTAGTTATTGTAACCAACCCTATCTATCAGTCAGGCCTTCAGCTCCCGTGCATCTCTGATCCTTTACCAATTACTCATCAAGGACCCTACCAGCCCCTGATAGCGAACACCAGTCAGCGCGGGGTGAGTTCTGAATATCGCGCACTGGAAGGCGGACATAGAGACGATCAGAGGGTTGGCGTTCCTGTGGACATCACAGACTACCAAGATCTTGACCAAACCAAACCGAGAGACAAATATGAGTCCTTGTTAGTTGTTGGTAGCTCTTCGGAGGTAAACAAAGAGAACCTTGTGGAGTTTTCCTGTTTTCCTATTCAGGTTTTACTGATCATCTTTAATGACATTTGATTTTAGTTTAGAGCGTTTTTCGATTGAGTGTCAAAAGTAAGTTAGACAATCACTTTGGTTTTGGTTTTGAATTTGGTTTTACTACGGTTTGAGATTGATAAGTAATCGACAATGGTAATGGTAATTCTTTATTAAGAGTGACAACTCCATTTAGCTAAAAAGCCACTTCACAGGAAGCCCACTATTAAAATAATATAAATATACATCAGTCAATAAACAAGTGTGAGCAAAAGAAAATACAAACTAGTTAAAAAATAGACCTAGAAACTAGTTGGTTTGGTTTTATTTTTTACGACACTCAATTGAAAACCGCTCTATTCAATCTGTAATGATTCCATTGAGCGACCGAGGGGGCTTACTGGAGTAGGGCGCATTTTCGTGAATGGACGCTTATTTCTTTTCTGGACATAAACATCGGAGTATGATCTCAGCAACTGATTCTCTAACTTAGAGCGGTTTTTAATTGAGTGTCGTAAAACCAAAACCAAAGTAATCACTCTTACCACTCACAAAAGGTACAGCCAATCCAATGAACCAATCAAAACTAGGAGTAATTATATGTAGCTGAAGCAAAGCGCGGGAAAACAAGTGCGAGCGAGTCACAATTGGTTTCGGTTGTATTTTTGATTGGATGAAAAAGAAGTGCGCGTTTTTTAGCCAATCGTGTAGCGTAGATAAAGCAAAACCATTTACTTTTCGACACTCAAATGAAAACCGCTCTATGAGCTTCAGCCATAGCGGTTCTCGTAGTCATAACACCATTCGCTTGTTCAAGATGTTAATAACGTTTGATGAGAAAAGCGGACCCAATAAATTCCTCGCCCAATCAATATCAATGTCTGGTATATCACTTCTGCAAGAGGAGAGGGTGGTGCGCTTATTGAAATAGGGGCGATTATTTAACAAAATGACACCCAAGAGTGCTATCAGAAACTAAGGGAGCGCTTTTTAGAATTAGGGCGCTAGATTAAAATAGAATAATCGCAGTACTACAATGCGTCATTTCAATGTACGAAATGCTATCTTGATTTCAGACGTCTTGTAAAGACTTTCTTTACAAGGTGTCATCTTGGAAGCCCATGCCAAGGAGACCCTGGGCTCAAGGTGATCAGATGGTCTCATCTCCTAACGTTGAATGTGCTCTGTCCACAGGACGGAAAATGCATTAAGGATAACAGACAATATGATGAACCTAATCTTCAAGAAACCTTGAAAGAGACTGACGCAAAACCTTCACGTTCACGCGTGCTTGGTGTTAGGACCTCCTCTCCCCCGAGTAAACACAGCCCAACTCGTGCAAGTCAGTTGGACAAATCCACTAAGGGGCCATTGCACCACACTTTGCGTTTGGAAGTCACAACTGAAAAGGAACCTTGTGCGCTGGCACGAAACATTTGCAATGTCCCACAAGAAACGGAAGATAAAATGTACTGCGTCATCAAAGAACTGGAGACTACCGTAAACACGAGGGCACTTAATGGTCAGGACGCGGGAGAGCCTTTGTATTATGTCCTCGAGGGACCATATCCCAGTCCAGAATCTAACCGAGATCCTATGCATTGTGTTGTCAAGGAACTAGAAAGTCTCAACGAAAATCGCCCCAAGAGGGCACCTTCTGACGATTTCACCGTAGAACCATTGTATGTCCCCGAAAGCTCAGAGGATACAGAAGACAAAAGCTCAGAAGAGGAACCAAACCCGTAGTTATAACTATTCAATTTAAAATTAAAGCGCTATTCGACGCGTTTATTATCGGCAGATAAATAGACGAGTGAATTTCACACTGAACAGTCTGTGACAGTGTCAGAAATACCTGCTTTATAAGGACTTTGCGAAGATGAATTTTTGCCTCAACAGTAGCTTTATTCGTTCAGTTGTACCATGCTATCAAATAATTAACAACTATTGGACGAGGTTGAGCAAAGGATCTTGATTTTTCAGAGGAGGGCCTTCGGCTAAGGCAAATAATTGATCTGCGATACACAGACAAATAACGATATTTTGCAACAACCGAGTTCAATAACTGTTTTATCATTCGATCACCAAATTTGTTTTCTTATTTAAATCACTCTCTGACAGCTCAGGGGAGTAATCTGCCATTGTTTACCTGATATCATGGTTACAATTACGCATGAGCAGAATATTATTTACAGCAAAACACATTCAGACGGTACTACGCGTGAGCGGGCCATTATTTGTAGGCAGTTATTATCTGTAGGTCATGTAGTTGGCTCTCGGCCAATGAAAAGGACGGAAAAATTGCATCAAATGATTAATTCTCAGCGTTTTCGCACGAGACAATTAGACTTTAATGCGATCTCGATTCAAACGTAAAGCAACTGAGAACGTGACGGATTTTAAAATTATTTTATTAGAATTCTAAATTATTGGAATTGTAGAATTGTAGAACTATTATATTATTACTGATCATGTTTCTGTTTTTCTTAAACTTTTAGCTAGATACACGACCCCACAAGCACACCTATTGCTTTAAACCAAATCGTGTTTAAATGAAGGATTGTTGTTTTTATTGTTGTTGCTGCATAAGGTCGAGGATATTTTGCGGCCATTGATGTATTTTACCAGATGAGATTATCTCAGTGTTTAGCTCAAGCTGTATTTTTAAAATAACTGCAACGTGATTAGTTCCTAAATATTTGCTGCCTCTGCCTGCAGAGGATAACCTGACCAATCAGAGTAGGTGAATTCCATTGATTGTCGAATAAATATGTAATAAACTTAGTGCAACATGGAAATTTGTTTTGTGATGACATAGCTTACAACGCCGCAATATCAGATTAAGTATCCGTGAAAGTGCATTATAATCCAACGCTCATGATGCGAGCAAAGTTAACTTCGCCTCGTTATTTACATTACCAATGTTATAAAAGAATTGATTCATGCTTTTAGCTGTGCGTATATCGAGTTCTGATGCACTTAGGAAATTTAGAGAGAACCCGAGAAACTAGATTTCCCTCCCGGCTGTGCGTCGAGCAAGTCTTGTGCTTCTTTCGTGTTCTCCATACTTAACGCGTGCGATGCACACTAAAGCGTGAAACAAATGTTACCTAGTTCTCTGCTGTTTCAGCCCCGCATCTGTTCTTGCAATGCAATGTGCAAAGCAACAAGCACGGTATCATAAAAAGTTACTTACAGAGGGCGGAGGCTTAATAAGGGGACCTTTTCTCGTGTGGTGGGGACGAGGAAAGCTTTAAACCCAAACGGAATTTTCTTACGAAGCCGATGGATGTATAAATGGAAAAAAAAACTTATTTGATGCGCTTTTGGCTTGACCCTTCTTCGGTGTGCTGAAAAGGGCGAGCTGCGCGATACAAAAGACGTATAACTAGGAACGCGCACATGGAAACAGCGCGCTTGAAACATAGAATTAGTCGAGCTCTCTGTGCAATTTGTGATGCGGAGTAAGATTGGCACGAGCAAAAAGCATGAACAAACCTCTCGACAAACCGGAACCATTTTTTCGAGGCACCAGTGGCGTATTTTTAAAGACTTTTTTTGATTTTTCTTCCCCACAACTCAATACGTTTATGTCCATTAGAATCTTGGTTAAATATTTTCGTTGTAAGCTGCTCAAATTTGGGTCTTGAAAACGCGAACTGCGCCATATCAATACCTTCTCTTATCTTTTAGTGCGTGCATGCATGATACGAGCGAGAAACGCAGTCTAAGGAAACTAACGTTTATGTACAGTCTGCTGGGTCTATAACCGGTCATGACCGGTTCAACTGGTTCCTACTAATGCGACCAAAGACCTTACAAAACTTACAAATGCCATAACAATTACAAGTGTACAAATTCTGAATTAAGGAAATATTTGATTGTGTTATCTCTTGTTTACAAAAGTGATATTTCTTCTAATCAGTTTGCTTATCCAGGTAAACTGATCTCCAGTACTTATATTCCTACAAATTGAGGATACTATCCTCCAATAAATTACATTCTTAAATTTCATAAAATTGACTTACTTTCATAGAAAACGTCCTATTAATTGATTTGCTTGATATTGTATTCTTACTACAAAGGTAAGACATAATATAGTAAATGAATTGAAATTGCAACGGTTTAGGATGAAATGTATTTTTACACTCCTGTGATTTATTCTGCCTAAAGAGGTATCCCGCTAACTATACGTCCCTCGTTCATTTGAACTGCAAACTGAGTATCATTTGCATTTTGAGTTTTTTGCTCATTTCTACTGAATATCATTGGTCCATGTTCATCTGTTTTTTTTTTGTTGGCCTCATTACAGTGCGTTCACGTGACATCCCCTTGTTGTTCACGTGGTGTTCACGATGTGTTCACTTGATTTTCAGGTGTTATTCACGTCGCCACTGATGTGAGATGCTGCTGACGCTTTGCTTGCTCTTGAAGTTTATTTTTGACAGAGTCAATTCCCAGAATCTAAGGAGGAAAATTTAAAAATTAAACGTTACTTGAACACCAAGCTTAAATTCCATTGTGACGCTGACTGTAGTGTATTTCTTTGATGTTATTTCTGGAAATTGTTGATACTTCCAGACACCCCCCACATCCTCCCACCTCCCTCTTCCACCAACCTAGCCGTGGGTTTTCTCTCTCTCGTCACGCCACTTGTCCTGTATTTAAATTACACTATTAAGATGCAGTTTAGTGTGGGGAGCCTGTGCGTGGCTTGTTAACTATCACATGATTTAGTGTATTCTTTGAAGTGTTTCAGTTGTCTGTGAAATTAATCAGTATTAGACATACTTTTTTTGTTTACGCGTTTACAGATAGGAATAAAAATAGAGAAAACATTTATGGTTTTGTTGATTTATATTGTCTTAGATAAGTGTTGTGAGAGCTCAGTGCATTTACAACTTCAAACAGTTAATCGTTTAAGGTCAGGGCACTGCTTACAAAACAGTGTAACAAACCACCCTTTTGGATTACAACGCCAAGACAGTCTTAAGAGGAATCACGATGATCACGTCACGTCACGTGACGTCACTGTCCGTGTGAAAGCATGCAGGTCTCGTGCAAAACAGAATAGTTACCTGTTTCATCAAGTGTTGGTCGCACAGACTTCAGATCGTCGAAAAGAGCCTGGCGTTAAATGCTTAAAGTTAACTGAGTTAAATTAATCGTAGCAAGGTGGCTTTGATTTCCGATTACGTAGCTATAGAGAGATCCGTGTCTCTGATTGGTTAGGGTTAGGGTTACTCAGTTGTGAATTTTCGCGCGCTATAAACAGCCAATCACAGATACTTCATAGAAACCAGGTCTTTAGTCATTACTCGAGGGATGCATGCTGGGTAATTGATCTCTTTGGATCTATGTTATCGCAATCATGGGATTAAGATGAGCAAATGAAGTTTAAGAAATAAATTAATTCAACTTAACGTTAAATTAGGGTCAATGCGTTTGGCAAGTTCATTAAAGGTTGTAACATAGTTTTAAATTGAAATTTACTTTCCTATTTTAACAGACATCACTGAAGTTTATGTTTAGTTTTGCAAGAACGAGTTCAAAAATTATTGTTGCTTCTTATTTAGCTGAGATATAGCATTAACATTGACGTAAGATTCCGTATTGAAACTCGTTTTACTCCAAAAGAATAAATCCCTGAATGAAGGGTCAAATAAACGTTGTAACGATGAATCATTTTCGTTTTTCTTAGTGAAAAAAGAACGCTCTCATCAGCATAAAAAGGTAAAAGGTAAAGTCTGCATACGAGCCAAAAGGCCTATTAGGCCGGCGCTTATCTATGGCTCTGCAGCATGAAACGACTAGGAGTATTTCTACTCCCCCCTGGATGGGATGCTAGTCCATCGACGGTTGCCCCCAGCATTAAACTCGCCGGTACCCATTTATACACCTGGATGGAGAGAGGCACTGTGAGAGTAAAGTTTCTTGCCCAAGAACACAAAACAATGCTCAATCCGGAGTCGAGCACACAGCATCGAGAACTGTAATCCAAGTCTTACCTGCCAGTTCAAGATGGCGGTTTTTCTTTTGTCAGCTTTGCTCGGCAAGCTGCTCTTTTTAATCACCATCAGGCCACGACGCCTCTCCTCAATCCCCTCTCGGGCCATATCTACCGAGTAGTCATCCTGGAGCTTTTTTAGGTCTGATGGTTTAACTGAGCGCTCTAAGACCATAATAATATGCGCCCACTGTCAACAGAAAACAGATCTTTTTTAGTCTTTTTTNTTGATTCATGCTTTTAGCTGTGCGTATATCGAGTTCTGATGCACTTAGGAAATTTAGAGAGAACCCGAGAAACTAGATTTCCCTCCCGGCTGTGCGTCGAGCAAGTCTTGTGCTTCTTTCGTGTTCTCCATACTTAACGCGTGCGATGCACACTAAAGCGTGAAACAAATGTTACCTAGTTCTCTGCTGTTTCAGCCCCGCATCTGTTCTTGCAATGCAATGTGCAAAGCAACAAGCACGGTATCATAAAAAGTTACTTACAGAGGGCGGAGGCTTAATAAGGGGACCTTTTCTCGTGTGGTGGGGACGAGGAAAGCTTTAAACCCAAACGGAATTTTCTTACGAAGCCGATGGATGTATAAATGGAAAAAAAAACTTATTTGATGCGCTTTTGGCTTGACCCTTCTTCGGTGTGCTGAAAAGGGCGAGCTGCGCGATACAAAAGACGTATAACTAGGAACGCGCACATGGAAACAGCGCGCTTGAAACATAGAATTAGTCGAGCTCTCTGTGCAATTTGTGATGCGGAGTAAGATTGGCACGAGCAAAAAGCATGAACAAACCTCTCGACAAACCGGAACCATTTTTTCGAGGCACCAGTGGCGTATTTTTAAAGACTTTTTTTGATTTTTCTTCCCCACAACTCAATACGTTTATGTCCATTAGAATCTTGGTTAAATATTTTCGTTGTAAGCTGCTCAAATTTGGGTCTTGAAAACGCGAACTGCGCCATATCAATACCTTCTCTTATCTTTTAGTGCGTGCATGCATGATACGAGCGAGAAACGCAGTCTAAGGAAACTAACGTTTATGTACAGTCTGCTGGGTCTATAACCGGTCATGACCGGTTCAACTGGTTCCTACTAATGCGACCAAAGACCTTACAAAACTTACAAATGCCATAACAATTACAAGTGTACAAATTCTGAATTAAGGAAATATTTGATTGTGTTATCTCTTGTTTACAAAAGTGATATTTCTTCTAATCAGTTTGCTTATCCAGGTAAACTGATCTCCAGTACTTATATTCCTACAAATTGAGGATACTATCCTCCAATAAATTACATTCTTAAATTTCATAAAATTGACTTACTTTCATAGAAAACGTCCTATTAATTGATTTGCTTGATATTGTATTCTTACTACAAAGGTAAGACATAATATAGTAAATGAATTGAAATTGCAACGGTTTAGGATGAAATGTATTTTTACACTCCTGTGATTTATTCTGCCTAAAGAGGTATCCCGCTAACTATACGTCCCTCGTTCATTTGAACTGCAAACTGAGTATCATTTGCATTTTGAGTTTTTTGCTCATTTCTACTGAATATCATTGGTCCATGTTCATCTGTTTTTTTTTTGTTGGCCTCATTACAGTGCGTTCACGTGACATCCCCTTGTTGTTCACGTGGTGTTCACGATGTGTTCACTTGATTTTCAGGTGTTATTCACGTCGCCACTGATGTGAGATGCTGCTGACGCTTTGCTTGCTCTTGAAGTTTATTTTTGACAGAGTCAATTCCCAGAATCTAAGGAGGAAAATTTAAAAATTAAACGTTACTTGAACACCAAGCTTAAATTCCATTGTGACGCTGACTGTAGTGTATTTCTTTGATGTTATTTCTGGAAATTGTTGATACTTCCAGACACCCCCCACATCCTCCCACCTCCCTCTTCCACCAACCTAGCCGTGGGTTTTCTCTCTCTCGTCACGCCACTTGTCCTGTATTTAAATTACACTATTAAGATGCAGTTTAGTGTGGGGAGCCTGTGCGTGGCTTGTTAACTATCACATGATTTAGTGTATTCTTTGAAGTGTTTCAGTTGTCTGTGAAATTAATCAGTATTAGACATACTTTTTTTGTTTACGCGTTTACAGATAGGAATAAAAATAGAGAAAACATTTATGGTTTTGTTGATTTATATTGTCTTAGATAAGTGTTGTGAGAGCTCAGTGCATTTACAACTTCAAACAGTTAATCGTTTAAGGTCAGGGCACTGCTTACAAAACAGTGTAACAAACCACCCTTTTGGATTACAACGCCAAGACAGTCTTAAGAGGAATCACGATGATCACGTCACGTCACGTGACGTCACTGTCCGTGTGAAAGCATGCAGGTCTCGTGCAAAACAGAATAGTTACCTGTTTCATCAAGTGTTGGTCGCACAGACTTCAGATCGTCGAAAAGAGCCTGGCGTTAAATGCTTAAAGTTAACTGAGTTAAATTAATCGTAGCAAGGTGGCTTTGATTTCCGATTACGTAGCTATAGAGAGATCCGTGTCTCTGATTGGTTAGGGTTAGGGTTACTCAGTTGTGAATTTTCGCGCGCTATAAACAGCCAATCACAGATACTTCATAGAAACCAGGTCTTTAGTCATTACTCGAGGGATGCATGCTGGGTAATTGATCTCTTTGGATCTATGTTATCGCAATCATGGGATTAAGATGAGCAAATGAAGTTTAAGAAATAAATTAATTCAACTTAACGTTAAATTAGGGTCAATGCGTTTGGCAAGTTCATTAAAGGTTGTAACATAGTTTTAAATTGAAATTTACTTTCCTATTTTAACAGACATCACTGAAGTTTATGTTTAGTTTTGCAAGAACGAGTTCAAAAATTATTGTTGCTTCTTATTTAGCTGAGATATAGCATTAACATTGACGTAAGATTCCGTATTGAAACTCGTTTTACTCCAAAAGAATAAATCCCTGAATGAAGGGTCAAATAAACGTTGTAACGATGAATCATTTTCGTTTTTCTTAGTGAAAAAAGAACGCTCTCATCAGCATAAAAAGGTAAAAGGTAAAGTCTGCATACGAGCCAAAAGGCCTATTAGGCCGGCGCTTATCTATGGCTCTGCAGCATGAAACGACTAGGAGTATTTCTACTCCCCCCTGGATGGGATGCTAGTCCATCGACGGTTGCCCCCAGCATTAAACTCGCCGGTACCCATTTATACACCTGGATGGAGAGAGGCACTGTGAGAGTAAAGTTTCTTGCCCAAGAACACAAAACAATGCTCAATCCGGAGTCGAGCACACAGCATCGAGAACTGTAATCCAAGTCTTACCTGCCAGTTCAAGATGGCGGTTTTTCTTTTGTCAGCTTTGCTCGGCAAGCTGCTCTTTTTAATCACCATCAGGCCACGACGCCTCTCCTCAATCCCCTCTCGGGCCATATCTACCGAGTAGTCATCCTGGAGCTTTTTTAGGTCTGATGGTTTAACTGAGCGCTCTAAGACCATAATAATATGCGCCCACTGTCAACAGAAAACAGATCTTTTTTAGTCTTTTTTTTTTTTTAGTCTTTTTTGGATAATCACTTGGATGAAGGTAGTTAAACGTGGTCTTAAGAGTAAAAACTCGTTGAAAACTCAAGAAATCTTTAACCACTACCTACGTATGCTTTCTGTTTTATTCTCAGTACATCTGAATTTATTATTTTGGATTTTCCTAGTGGAGATGCTCGAAAAAACTTCACATTTACGTTTTCTGTTATATAAATCAAACTAACGTCTGCCTGGAAAAAAAATAGATCCAATCTAAATAGAATCGAAAAGGAGCACGGCTGCACGGCTCATAGTCCTCCAAACTAAATAACCATACATGCGTTAGACACAGTATAAGGTTCAGGATTCCATTGGAGTCTAACATCTTTTGTCAAACTTTAGGCCTCAAGGGTGAATTCCTCATCTTCTCAGGGATAGAAAAATGAGGTACAAGTCGAACCACTTTCATGTGGACAACAAAGGGCCAGACAGGGCACTTAAATGTACTGGGTGTCCTCGTTATACAGGAAGAGACTGCATGAATTCTGGTTCCCTGAGACCACGCGAACTTTGCGTAAAGTAGAAGTGTTCGCGTTATGCAGGGTCCGTGAGGAGAGGTTTGACTGTATTTGGTCTTTTTTTACCTGTCTTCTCCATTCTTTTTCTGAACGGTCTGAAATCTGTAAAAAACAAAACAGCATATGTTAAAATCAAAGTAGAGAGCTAATATCTACCGTTACTTTTTCTTTAAGTCATTTCGAGCAGTTTAAACTATCTAAGGAAATATTTGGTTATTAGTACGAAACTCAACAAATATCAGCAACGCATCTGATCAGGAGGTGACGCGGCTGATCCTGCCGTTCATATTCCTCTGAAAGTTTCTAAACAACCCTGATGCATCTCAGAATTCCTCATGTTAGAAATTGCTGTTTTACTTACATTCTGGTACGTGTTTGCCATCATTGCAATCAACATATTCATGAGTAAAACTGTGACGAACAACATGAAGTAGAAAAACAACAGCTTAGCCAAAGCTGGGTGCCGTGACCTATCGAACGTGAAAAACTGGGGAAAGACAAGAAATGGACGTAGTCAGTGACCATGGCAACACGATTGACATCTTGAATGAGAGGTAGATGCTTTAATACTATATGAAAATCGTATTTCCTGTATGCGGCAACTGCACCTTGTAAAAATATCAATCTTTCATCTTGAAATTTGACTCTTGTTCTGGACAGGCATTTCAGGAGCCTTTAGGATTACTTTTTAGCTGCGTTAGAATCCAACTTTGATTTTCCCCCTAAGGCCACGAGTGGCCTTAGGGTTGGTTTTCACTAGCGCACAAGCACTGAACAAATACATACGTAGTAGAATGCTGTTAAGTAGCTCCTTTTGTTAGGAAACTTTCCAAACAAAAATCACTAATTATCAACATCTTACTGGGCTTGCTTATGTTGTTTATGCTTATGCCTATGCGCCGGAAGTGAAAACCAGCCTTTACAACCATGTTTGCGGTGTCTCTCCTTTAAAACGTTGGGGGCTACAANGCAACACGATTGACATCTTGAATGAGAGGTAGATGCTTTAATACTATATGAAAATCGTATTTCCTGTATGCGGCAACTGCACCTTGTAAAAATATCAATCTTTCATCTTGAAATTTGACTTTTGTTCCAGACAGGCATTTTAGGAGCCTTTAGGATTAGTTTTTAGCTGCGTTGGAATCCAATTTTGATTTCCCCCCTCAAATTTGTTCAATTACATCCATGCTTGTCAAATTCCCGGGAATATTCCGCTCGTGGCCTTAGGGTTGGTTTTTACTAGCGCACAAGCACTGAACAAATACAGACGTTGTAGAATGCTGTTAAGTAACTCCTTTTGTTAGGAACCTTTCTAAACAAAAAGCACTAATTATCAACATCTTACTGGGTTTGTTTATGTTGTTTATGCTTATGCCTATGCACCGGAAGTGAAAACCAGCCTTTACAACCATGTTTGCGGTGTCTCTCCTTTAAAACGTTGGGGGCTACAAGCACCTTCCTATTGAAACAACTTACAATTCTCGTCCCTAGAGTCAGTGGTTCTACTGCTCACCAAACGAAACGCAGGCCCTGAGAACGAGATCAGAACTTACGTCAAACTCGCCGAATGTCATGCGCATTAGAGTCATGATGGTATATCCTTCATTTTGAAATCCCTCGACTCCTTTCATTACATGTGAAAATGCTGCAAAAACAAAACAATGGGAATCTTAAATGGTGCTTGGCTGCTCGCCAGTTTGGCTTACAGTAAGAAAAATACTTTCATAAAGTTAGCTAAAAAGCAAACGAAATAGCAACAAGTAGTTGAAAAATTACAATTGACTCAAATGGCAAGATTCGCATCAATAAATGCACCCATTCTAATGAACACTCGGTTAAAGTTACAGATACAGTTAAAATTATTGTTTACTGGTTTTTGGATGCTCAAAGCGCACTTAGACAAACATCCCAGGATTGCAGATACTTTTCGTGGTCCCTACGATTTCGTATTGGCGGGATCATGGACATCTCGCGATTGTTATATGTGTACGGGGATTCTTCCGTATTTCGTCATAATGTCCTTTTGACGTTCTTTTATTGATGCGATAATTACCCTATCATGTTGCTGTGCCTGCTTTGCAAAACCACAAAGCAAACAGGCAAACACACCAATTACGCCAAACGTTATCCTGTGTGCTTTCTGTGACAGGAAACGTCACGTCACGGCGCCATCAACACGTTACACGCATTACTTAACGTAAAGTCGCATCCTGTGTACTTCGCGAAATAATTCTCAGAGGCAGATTTCGTCCAAACAAGGTCTGTATGCCTTTAAAGTTAGTTTGAGTTAGCGTTTTACCTTGCGCAAGTCCCAGTAGGTATATGATGTATATGATAAAGAACCTTGACATATCTCCGACGCACATCTTGTAGATCATACCCACAAATGGACCAATGGCTCCAAAACCTCTGGAAATTGACAAACAAACAAACAGTTGGCCTGTAAATATCCGCCCTCTCCCCTCCAAACAATCGGAGAGGGGGACCCTCTCCCCTTATTTAGCGGGGAGGGGACGGATGTGTACAGGCTAACAAACAGTCAAACAAGAAAGAGCGATTATCTCACGGTCGATGACTAGTGGCAAACTTTTCACGATTCTTACAGCCACTACCATCACAGCTAAACTGACCACCTCTTGACTCACTTGACTCTAGCGATGACTCAGTTTCCCTCAAGTTGCCGAAAAGACAGTCACCAAGAACACTTCTTTTCAGAACTACCCTCACCCATATTTTCAGTACTTACCTACAGAAGAAAAGCAGATAACACCAAGCCATTGGAGCAGCAAGAATCAACATGGCGGTCTCGGCATTTTGTTCTCCAAGGTAACGACAAGGTAACGCAAGGATAACGAGTACACAGGACATCAAGAAGATGGATTTACCAGGAGCGTCACGCTGAAGAAGATATCGACGTGAAACTATGATAAAAATTCCCCATCAATGTGCAATGTCGCGGAAAAGGGTAAAGTGAACCCTTTTCCTTATCAATGCTCGTTGTTTCCATAAACGTTGGCTATAGAACTTACGATTAGAATGGAGAAATATTTTTATTTTTTTTTCTCCAGCAAACTGTACATCTTCTGATAACGAGAGATTTGGAAAAACATTTCAGGATAAAAAGTAGCGATATTAAAACATGACGTTTCGGCGACGACATGTCACCATTATCAAATGTAGATTATTGTAAGCTCAGTAACGTTATATAAAGAAAGGAAAGCGTGAAACTACAATAGACTAAAGTGTGATGGAGGAAAACAAAAGAATGGACAAGAACATGATGTACAAAATTAAATGAACAGTTTCGCTGGAATGGAGTCTTTTTGAGTGTTCAGAATCGGTATCTTTTTCCTTATTAAAAGCATCTCATTAATGAGGCACTCGAACTTTCCTCGGCATTTCCTTAGGATGAAAAATTGCTCGTGAAGACTGTTCGGTCTTAGATTGTGTTCGTCCTTAAGATCTTAAGATTTTTCGCAGCATAGAGACATGACCGACACCGGAAACTGCGCAAGAAAAACCTCTGGCACCCAGGGTAAGTTAACCAAGTCCCTTGCCCTGTCCATACCTTGAAAATATTCCTCGGGGCTTTTAATTACGAGTAATTATTTACCCATCACGAAGTGAGAAAAAGGAAGAAAGAAAAACTGGCCGCGCGGAAACTAGAGGACCAGACTTGTTACTGGTTTTCGCGCGGTTCGCGTGTCGTACTCACATCCCTGACGTAAAGTGAGAGGTAAGTTGGGTTAAGGGTTATTAAGGGCTTTTGTTTGGAACTAAATTGTAAATAATTTTAACTTTATGTAGCTAAAGTATATTTAAATATGTAAATAGTGTCCCCAATTAGTTTTTTTAAACTAATTACCATTGACACTGAAATAAAGTCTTTCGTTCATTCATTACTGAATAGATTAATTCTTACCAAGGCGTTCAGTTGGACGTTAATTCCTTGTGTTATTAACACATCTTTGATTTCCAGCACCAAGTAGATTATCGCACCAAGAACTGTAAAGCCTTCTGCAACAAGACGTAACTGTGGAGATTAAAAAAAAACATAATAATAGTTGCATTTGAAAGTGAAGAATGATCATCGCCGTTAATTTTCCAATTTAAGCAATTGGAAAGAAGAAGCCTGAAAAAATCAGGGCTTCAACGGGATTCGAACCCGTGACCTTTGCGATNAGCAGCTACTACACAGAATGCGGAAATTGCACAAAATGGCAACATTAACGAAAGTGCGATTGTGAATTTTGGTAAGAGTGATACTGAGGCCTCTAGGCTTTTAGCGGACTCTGCGTCCATGAAAGTGGAACAGTGAAAAAAAGATTTGTAACCTCTACAATTTAATCAAAAGATTTTATTGGAGACATCTTCAGTTTCACTAGGATGTTTGAAAAATTTCAAAGAGATTGGCCAAGTCAAACTTGAAAAGGGGCGAGTAACCACGAAATAAACGCTTTTTACGGAACCTCTAGTTTTGTTATTTTCCTCTGTACGTCTATCATTAATAAGCAACTTAAAAACCTCTTACTTTGTCATCTCTCGTCTCTATTCTCTTTGGATCAAGATGTCGTGGTCTAAGATAAATAGCCAAGCTAAAGCCCAGAAGGTAGAGGACCGCAAATAATAAGCGCCTGTAAAACTTGCCCTGGAAATAAAAGAGAGGAAATATGTTTAATGCTGAGATAGAATCTGGAACTGGCAAGTTTTGCTTAGCTTAGAAACCGTTGGACCTTACTAATTTGAACTCGCCTTTGAACTTGCCGTTAAGGCTTTCTCAAACCCATTTCGCGCGCTGTGTGATCCACCTAAAAACCACCAACTTCTCTCCACCGCAAAAACTTCACTCTTCACCCTTGACCCTTGACCCTTGACCCTTGACCCTTGACTCTTCACTCTTCACTCTTCACTCTTCTTCACTCTTCTTCACTCTTCACTCTTCACTCTTCACTCTTCACTCTTCACTCTTCACTCTTCACTCTTCACTCTTCACCCTTAGCTTGGAGTCATCGCAGACGAAAATATCCGTGCCGAATTCGGATAACCGACTTTATGGTCCCGGCTCATTTCACCAGCAAATACACTGTTGACTGTATTTTGTCCTTATATAGTAACAAGTATCAGATATAAGGAACCGAAATGTCTTGTCTGCAATGTCAGGCGTCTTCTTGCCCTAATCCAGGAGAGGCGCCGGCGGGCATTAGGACAAGAAGACGTCTGACATTTAAGACTACGAAATTTCGGGAACGAGCGCGTTAGCTATAAGTTTCATCTGTGATCACGTAATGCGAAATTGATTTTCTTACCCTGGCAAAGGCTTTCCATTTCTCCTCAAGAAGTCGATAGATAATACCGCTGTTCAGCATGTCCAAATGATCGTCTGTCTTTCCATTCAGTGTGATCAGTAAAGCTGATTCATCGTCTAAACAAAAGAAAATATGTTTTACCCGAGAACCATACGGGCGATTTTCCCAGAGACGAAACAGGCCGACGAAACATAATTGTGAGTGACACTCAGAGAGAGTTAGAGTAAAGAGAACGTAGGATGTGAGGGGAAGAAAGAGAAGTCGTAAAGAAAGATAGACTACAGGGAATGCGGGCATTAGGGAGGATGGAATTGTGAGAGACATAGTCGATAGAATTTAACTGTTTGTTTTGTTTTTCATATTTGTTACTTGGAACAGAACTGAATGGTCCTCCTTTTTAGCCAGGTATGCTTATGGAGTGCAAAGCAAAGTCGAAAAAAGTTAACTGTTTGTTTTGTTTTGCATATTTCTTACTTGGGACTAAGATGGTTCTCATGGTTAGCTCATAATATTGACTTACCCGATTTACCATTCTTGTCAATAGAATCTAGGCCGTCTAGTGGGTATCCTGAACAAGTCATGCGTCCATAGGACCAGTACTCCTGTTGGAGAACAATTCAAAAAACTCGTTTAAATCTTCTCTGAGTCTGTGGTTTTCATGAAAGACAGGCTCCTTAGCAACACGACGCATGCGTATGACGCCATTCTGATGTAAAAACTACTTCAGATAGAAAATAACCCGAAAGGAAGAGTTTTCTAAGGTAGAAAACATCAAATAATAAGTCGAAAATAAATGAGGATAACAAAACGGAGTTAGATTGTGACCGGGTAATTATGAGTGCAACGATCGCGCTTTTTACAGTAAGAAACTCTTTGACGGCTCCGGTCATTTTTCCTTTGTTAGCTTGCAAAAAAGATAAAAAAAACTGTCTTTTGAAGGAAACTTATACAGTTTTCACTCACGTGGCCAGCAGCCATGCAAACTTACTGAGCAAAAAAACTGTTATATAACAAATGAATTCAACTCCTACAGGATTGGTTTGGTACACCAACATGGCTACCGTTTCATTGCTTTGGGACAACAATATGGCTGCTGTGACGTCATGTGAAAACACTCTGTTCCTTACCATGCTTTGATATTCGAGAATTTCATGGAACATCTCTTTTCTTCCCAACTTAGCAGCCAGCGTGAGAGGTGTAAGTCCCAAGTTATTTCTGATGAACGTGTCTCCACGTATCTTGTGTCTTCTCTGTGTGGCATGAAAAAACATGTCCTACAACGAAAGAATGCTTGATCAATATAATAAAATAGTCTTACTGACATTTGACAGTGATTTTTTCCCCCATGGAATTTGACCCGACTGCATACTGTACAGATCAGTGTAGGCTATACCACCAAGCTTTAAGGAAGTAATTTGACACTGTATCTCATTCCATGTCTGCACCAGTTTCAACGTGAAAGAAAGAAAGAAAGAAAGAAAGAAAGAAAGAAAGAAAGAAAGAAAGA